TGTTTTTTTTATTTTTATAAATATTTTTTGGGGGGTTTTCACCTTTAATGAACAGGACAATATAGAGTATTGACAGGTAAGGATGGGGAGCAGAGAGAAGAGAAGAATTGGCATAGGACTGCGAGGCGGGAATCAAACTCGGGTCACCGTGAGCACCGGAGTTGCATGTGTCGACACACTAACCACTACACCACTGGCAACGACTCAAATGTTTTTAAGTACAAACTATTTAGCTTTGGTACACACTGATAACTTGTTCACTTCTTAATATTCATAGTCAAATTTACAAACGCTCAAAGAATTATACTTATTTTGCTTATTGTTCTGGTTAATGTTATGCTTTTTTTTTTTTTTTTTAATTGCTTATTTAAAATGATCTGAACTAACAAATTTTAAAAAGTATTTTTTGGGGAACTTGATTGTTTTATTTTCAATCCACTTAAATTTGTCAAATTTTAACAAGTTAACTTAATTCCTTCATGTTGCCGCAACACAAATCGATTGTGTGGAACCCAGCATTTTTACAGTGATCTTTAAATGCAAATTTCAACAGTTTTTTTTTTTTTTTATAAATATTTTTGGGGGGTTTTCACCTTTAATGAACAGGACAATATAGAGTATTGACAGGTAAGGATGGGGAGCAGAGAGAAGGGAAGAATTGGCATAGGACCACGAGGCGGGAATCAAACTCTGGTCACCGTGAGCACCGGAGTAGCATGTTTCGACACACTAACCACTACACCACTGGCGCCGACTCAAAGTTTTTAAGTACAAACTATTTAGCTTTGGCACACACTGATAACTTGTTCGCTTCTTAATACAAACAGTCAAAAAAATATGCTTGTTTTGCTTATTGTTCTGGTTATTGTTATGCTTTTTTGTTTTTTTGTTTTTAAATTACTTATTTAAAATGATCTGAAACAACACATTTTAAAAGCATTTTTTGGGAAACTTGATTGTTTTATGTTCAATCCACTTAAATTTGTCATATTTTAACAAGTTAACTTAATTCCTTCATGTTGCCCCAACACAAATCGATTATATAATAACTGTAAAAACACATGACTTTCAAGTGTATACATTTTAATAAAAAAATTCCTCTAAATATTATTAATTTAATCTAAAGTACAGATGTACCAGCATTTTGGTTTTGGTTCTAACTAATACCCATAAATAAAACACTTTATTTTTAGATGCATACTCATGATTACTGATTTGGTTGTGAATAAATAAGCATGAATTATTCCTCCAAATGTACCAACACTTACCTGTAAACGTACTTTATTTTCAAGTGCATACTTACAATTACTTATGATTATGAGTATGTTTCCTCAAAAGTGAAGATGCAATGAAGTACCAATACATTTGTGTTAGTATTCAAAATAGCTTTAAAAAGTACTTCATAGTTTAAGTGCATTCTCATAATTAAAGGGGAATTCATTTATTTATTTATAGTTTGCATAAAAAATAGTTACAAAATTGTATATAAAGATGCATTGATGAATAGAGACATTTAATTTCCCCCCCCCAAAACGATAAAAAAAATACTTGATTACAGAGTTCATACTCATAATTACTTTGTGGTATGTGTAAATTATATGTTTCCTCCAATGAAGATGCAGTTATTACTCATAGGTTTGTTTATACATTGTGCATCCAAAATGCATGAATTGAACAATTTTAGTTGTTAACAAAGAAACAAAACAAATGCATTGTTTACTCTGTCAGTCTTAATTTCTAAATACAGAGTTCAGTATGAGGTCGTAATGGTGTCCTTGTGGCTGTGTGTTAGCACATAACTTCATGTGTGAGCTCCTGACCAACACATTACTACAATCCACTGTGATTTAAAACAGCAGTGCAGCATTTCTGTCAAACTACCCACACAAACTACACTCGAAAAATTATACTACTTATTTAAAATGAGCTAAATCAACTCAATTAAAAATTTGTTTTTTTTTTTTTGGGGGGGGGGGGGGGGGGTGTTGTACTTAATTGTTCCATGTTCAATCCACTCAAATTTGTAAAGATAACTTAATAAATTTGTAGTGAAATTGTGTGGAACCCAGCATTTTCATAGCGCAGAACTGCTAAAAGAATAGTTGTTTTCGAACAGGTTTCCTTCCTTTTTGGGTTAAACAACAGGTAGCAAACTCTTGAATGCTTTTTATTGAGTATTTCAAAATCAAAATGACCTACAACAGCTTTAAAGTGATTTTTTTCCAGCCGTTGGAGGAGGTCCTTGGGAATTTACACATTAAATTACAGCATAAACAGCAGTGCAGCATTTCTGTGAAACTAGCCACACAATCTGCACTCAAAAAATCTGTTTTTTTTTTTTTTTGCTGCTTGTTCAAACTATTTATTTAAAATGAGCTGAATCAACTCAATTATTCTGTTTTTTTTGGGACAACTTAATTGTTTTATGTTCCATACAGTTAAATTTCTAAAGTTAACTTAATAAATTTGTGTTGACACTGTGAGGAACCCAGCATTATTATAGCGTAGAACTGCAAAAAGTGTTGTTTTCGAACAGGTTTCCCTCCTTTTTGGGTTAAGAAATAGGCAGCAAACTCTTGAATGCTTTTCATTGAGTATTTCAAAATCAAAATTACCCACAACATGAAGTCATTTTTTCCAGCTGTTTCTGGGAAACTAGCCACACAATCTGCACTCAAAAAAATGAGTTTTTGATGCTTGCTCTAACTACTTATTTAAAATGAGCTGATTCAATTCAATTATTGTGTTTTTTTTGCGGAGACAACTCAATTGTTTTTGTTCAATGCAGTTACATTTGTAAAAATAACTTAATTTGTGTTGAAATTGTGTGGAACCCAGCATTTTTTACAGTGTAAAATTTCTAAAAGTGTTGATTTCGAAAATGTTTCCCTTTTTGGGGGGTTAAAAAACCGGCAACAAACTCTGAAATGCTTTTCATTGAGTATTTCAAAATCAAAATTACCCACAACAGCTTTAAAGTCATTTTTTCCAGCCGTTGGTGGAGGTCCTCAGCAATTTACACATTAAATTACAGTCTGCGCAAAGCAAATACTCTGACGATGACTGATGAAAAGCATACCTAAGCTAATCATTCATTATGTTACTGAGCACACGCTAAATATTTGTGCTGAAACTGAGTCTGGGTGTTTCAGTTCCACTTACATTTACATAAGTGAGAATGCAGAATCTATTTAAATTCACCATGACCCCATTTACGTTATTAATGCACGTTTGTGGTCTTACTCTGAATGAATTATCAGCGCATGCTAATTTGAAACAAAATAATTATTTCGTGGTATTTCTGCTTTGTTTTATGGTTATTTACATCCTTAGAACAAGATGAATTTACCAGCAAAGCAATATATATAAAAACAAACAATTGCTCTCAGAGAGTCTATTTAAATCTTTTACATTTATGCATGAAACAAGACAAAACAGATGAGATGAAGTAAAATGAACCCAGCTCAACATATATTCTCTTTGTCTTATTATCTTGCACTATTTGCTTATCCAAATGAATTGATTCTGTTTTAAGCATGTGTGGACGTTTTATCCAGATGCCAGAGCTAAAGAAATACCATAACACTTACATTTAAGTTGCAAGTCATGCTATTAAATAAGGCCTTATTATATGACTTTTATGGCTTGTTTCCACTGAGTGGTACGGTACAGTACAGTACAGTTTGGTACACTTTTTTTTTGCATGTTCTCCCCATGTTGGCGTGGGTTTCCTCCATGTGCTCTGGTTTCTCCCACAGCTAAAACACATACACTACTGTATAGAGTGGGTGAATTGAATAAACCAAATTGACCGTAGTGTATGTGTGAATAAGTGTGTATGGATGTTTCCCTGTACTGGTTTGCAGCTGGAACGTCATCTACTGTATAAAACATGTTGGATAAGTTGGCGGTTCCTTCCACTGTGGCAACCCCTGATGAATAAAGGGACTAAGCCAAAGCAAAATGTATGAATATTGTAAATAAGGTTCAATTTCTCACACATTGATTTATTTTACATGACCTCAGTGTGTCATCAGGAGACATGTCTATTTGGCTTTGGAATCAATCGTATTTTTTTTTTTTTATCTAAAAAACCTGCCACCATACACTGCCATTATATGAATCTCCAAGAACCACAGATTCAGCTCAACATCTTCTTTAATGTTCTACTGAAGAAAAAAAGTACATCTTAGATGACTTATGGGTGATTAAATCAACAGGAAATTGTCATTTTTGGGTAAAAAGGGGGCCTATTATGCGCCTTTTTACAAGATGTAAAATAATTATCTTATGTCCCAAGAGTGTGTATGAGAAGTTTCAGCTCAAAATACCACATAAATAATGTTTTCTAACTCTTTGAAACTAACCCCATAAGGCTTTGATTCAAATTGTGGCATTTTTTTTTTTTTGTGACTGTCACTTTAAATTCAAATGAGATTGTGCTCTTTTCAAAAGAGGGCGGAGCCACAAATGCCTATGCATCAGCATAGTGGCAGATTTAAAAACAAATCTAATGAGGAAGAGATTGTCACTAGTGGGCGGGGCTTTCCCCCTCTGATGACACGTACAAAGGGAGAATGTCAATCAAAGTGTTTTTGCAGACTGTTTTGATCAAGAGTGATTATAAACGAACATAATTAATAAATGTTTACCATTTGAAGCTGGTTATATTTACTTACTGTTGCCACAAAAAACTGTGTTTAAACCTCTTATAAAAGTGATTTCTGCATAATAAGTCCCCTTTAAAATATTAACTGTATATTAGTACTTATAAATAACATACTCATTTTACATCCCTAATCCTATACGATATCTAAAACCCAACTACTACCATACTAACTATTAACAAGCAGCTAATTAAGCAAATAGTCTTCATTTAATGGTGACTTCATATTTAAGATGACCTAAAATAAAGTGTAACCATAAATACTCAAATTTAAAAGCTTTATAGCGCATGTGCAAGTGTGTTTTCCTATGTTAGTGTTGTTGTAGTGTGTTACCTGTACAGGGCGTGAGGGAGGAGTGCTAATAAGCGGCGCGGGACCCATGGCTGAGGCTGCAGTCAAACTTCGCTCTCTCTCCTCCTGGTAAATGCGATCTCGCTCGGCTTCTGGTAACTGCAGGAAGTTTTGCATCGCTCGCAGGTTGACCAGAAGAGACTGAGATGCCGTTTTGGGGTCTTCCTCTTTCCTAAGGATCTCAGAGAGAAGACCCTGGAAGAAAAACATAATAGATAGAGAATAAAAATGAATGCAGTGTGCTTTCAGAAAAGAGAAGTTGGTTCAAGTGCAACAATGGACCCTTTTCACAAGCCTGTTATGAGGCATTTAACGGTCACCAGCATCTTAAATCCTTAAAAGTTTTTAATATTTTGATTATTTTAAAAACGTATGAACATTTATATGTATTTTTGAATGTAATACATCATCTTTGTTTCAAATTACGAAAATAATTACAGCTTGTGCGAGGTGTTTCTAATGCCGCATCTATGGGACAGGACAGTACAGCTGATGTTATTCCCTCCTCTTGCTGATGTCATCTGTCTCACACATTTTTATTTTCCTTGTGATAACACCATTGAGGAGTTTTTCTTTTATTATTTGAGCAAACAGGATTGTAAATAAATATTTGTTCTACTCTCCAATTCACTGCATTCTAAGTTTTCCCAACTATGACGACTTCTGCTACTGAGAAACCCGGAAATGTGAAAAGGGTCAATTAAAACTTTCTAACCAATCCATATGTGACAAGCCACACCCACAATACACTAAACATCCATTAAGAATGAAGATTTGAGTTATTAGTGCAGCCTATAATTTAATCTATATTATGGCTTTACCGATAAAAACATGACAAAATAAAATGATTTAATAAATAATAATAATAATAAAATAGTGGGTAGCACGATCGCCTCACAGCAAGAAGGTCGCTGGTTTGAGCCTCGACTGGATCAATTGGCTTTTTTTTTTGTACTGTGGGGAAAACCAGAGCACTCAGAGAAAACCCACGCCAACACGGGGAGAACTCCACGCAAAAATGCCAACTGACCCAGCTGGGAATCGAACCAGCGACCTTCTTGCTGTGAGGCGACAGTGATAAACACTGAGCCACCGTGCCACCCATAATATGATATGATAATATGATATTATAATATGATAATATAATATAATATAATATAATATAATATAATATAATATAATATAATATAATAAAATATAATAATATTAGATAATATAACAAAATATAATAAAATAAAACATAATATAATATTTATATAATATAATATAATATAATATAATATAATATAATATAATATAATATAATATAATATAATATAATATAAAACAATATAAATTTCAGGAACAGTTCTGTCCACCATCAATTCTCTCATATTTTGAAATGATCAATCATGTTACTGTGTTTCATTTAATTTGAGTGGTTAAAAGTGCTGCTAATAATTTAGATTTGATGCTTTCACCAAGCCTCGCTAAATTAAATTACACAGTAACGTCATTAATCATTTCAAAGATGGAGAAAACTGAAAGTTGACAGAACTATTCTGACAGTTTCAATCTACTAGAACTTCTATGTGAAGCTGCTTTGACACAATCTACATTGTAAAAGTGCTATGGAAATAAAGATGAATTGAACGGAATTGAATTGTGCAGTGGGTAGTATTGCCACACAGCAACAAAGTCACTGGTTCGAGTCACGGCTGGGTCAGTTGGCATTTCTGTGTGGAGTTTGCATGTTGTTGCCGTGTACGTGTGGGTTTCTTCCGGGTGCTCCGAAGACATGGTATAAGAATATGAATTGGGTAGGCTAAATTGTCTGTAGTGTATATGTGTGAATGAATGTCTATGGGTGTTTCCCAGTGATGGGTTGCAGCTGGAAGGGCATCCGTTGCATAAAACATATGCTGAATAAATTGGCGGTTCATTCCACTGTGGCGACCCCAGATTAATAAAGGGACTAAGCCGAAAATAAAATAAAATGAATGAATGAACTGTATTATTCCTATTTTTTGGTACAAACAGCATGTTTAAAAGCTTGCATAGTTTATTCAACACGAAAGCATTGCATTATTTGGTCAAATATGGTGCTTTTTAATGCTATACAATCCAAATAAATGCTCTTTTTTAAATTAAAAGTGATTTAATTCTGATAAAATCACCTTTAAAATAATAACTTAATATTAGTACTTATAAGTAATGTATAAGCAATCCCTAATCCAATATCCAAAACCCAACTACCAACTTACTTACTATTAACAAGCAGCTATAGGTGAATTGATTGAACTAAATTGGCCATAGGGTGTGTGAATGAGTGTGTATGGGTGTTTCCCAGTACTAGGTTGCGGCTGGAAGGGTATCTGCAGCGTAAAACACATGCCAAAATAGTTGGCGGTTCATTCCCCTGTGGCGATCCCTGATAATTAAGAGACTAAGCCGAAGGAAAGTGAATGAAACATGAAAACAGTGTACTAGCAGATGGCAACAGTTGCTAAGGCAGGATTGGACATTAACACTTCTAAGTAGCGGCTCAATTACCATCAGGCACAATCGAGATTTGCAAAGTGTGATTAAGACCTCATAAAATCTAAAAAGAAAGGCCACCAAGCCCGCATAAACACTCTGACTCCGATACGCCACAACATGCCACCGCAAGCATCCATCATTCACACACGGGGAGGAATGTAAAATAAATATTTAGGGGCTCTGTGGAAACAAAAGCAACGGCACGTTGCGAATTCTTCACACTGCAACTAAATGCCAATTTGCGCAAACATGCCTGTCGTGAATTCCTACAGATTCCTATCATGGCAATGGGAGGTTTTATGCGGAGGATGGCGAGGCATATGATCTGCCCACTGTCTCCAAAACTCGCCCACCCTCCACTGCTGGCATTCGGCCAGGTGACTCTCTCTTTGTCTCACCTGATCACTGCAGACAGTTGTCAAGGCTTTCAGGTAGAATGGAGGGCTGGGACTGTGCCATTAACAACTAACGTGAAACCACTATAATGTTTAGTGGGTCTGACTACCGTGTTTGATTGGTGTATTGGTCAAGTATTGATACCGGGTCAATGTATTAGGTGTTTTTTTATAACATGGTGTACATATCCTAATAGAGATGGTATATATGCTGAAAACCTGTTTAAATGAATCAAAGACAACAATCAGAATACCTTATTATTTGTTAATTGGTTTATTTATTTATTTATTTATGGGTTTGTTTGTTCATTTATTTATTTATTTATTTGTTTGTTTAATATTTATTTTTATTTATTTAAATATCTGTGTTATTTATTTATTTATTGGTTCGTTTGTTCATGCATTTATTTATTTATTTTATTATTATTATTATTTTTCCCAGATTTAATAATAATAATAATAATAATAACAATAATAATAATAATAATAATTTATTTATAATACACTTTTTTAAAACCCAAAGTGCTACAACAATATAAAGAATAAGAACATGCTAATATATATATATATAAGGATTCAACATAGAAAATATTAATTTAGAAACACATCAGAATGATCAAAAATCTAAAAATGCAATAATAAAAACATGAGATGCATCCAAAAAGATGGATGTATATACCTGTCTGTGACACAAAAAAACAGTATTATTATAAAATATTTAATTAATATAATGTTTTTCCTATTCATCAAAAATGCTGTCAATCTGAAACCATTTCAACATGCCCTTGTTTTGGGGTTTGTTTTCATAAAAAAAACACAGTCATATTAATATTATCCAGGTTCTTCTAGCTTTACAATGGCAGTGAATGGTGCCCGAGAATTTGACACTCCAAACATTGCATCAATCCTTTATAAAAGTAATCCAAACAACTTCAGTGGCTTAATGAATTCCTTCTGAAGTAAATGAATGAGTTTTTATAGCCCAAATATCCACATTTTTATGATCACGTGACACTGATATTTGTAGTAAAATGATAAAGAGGTGCTAAAGATGCACACTGAACCCATCTTACGAGTATATGCCCTTGTTTTTGTGTTTGTTTTTATAAATACACAGTCATATTAATAATATGCTGGTTCCTCTTTGCTTTATAAATGGCAGTGAATGGTGCCCGAGATTTTGACACTTCAAAAAGTGCATCAATCCTTCATTAAAGTAATCCAAACAACTTTAGTGGGTTAATGAATGCCTTCTGAAGTGAACTGATGAGTTTTTATAGCACAAATATCCATATTTTTATGATCATGTGACACTGATATGTGTAATAAATATTCTATAAGCATCAACTCCAATTATATAACATTTACTTTTACGTTGCAAATCAAAAACTGCATAAATGCCTAAATATAAACAAACAAAACCATGTGTGTGTGTGTGTGTGTGTGTGTGTGTGTGAATCTAAAGATGTAAGCCAGTGTTATACAGTGTTTCATTGAACGGTGAGATGCAGTTTCGCTCCTAAAGTTACTCTCTTACACTTTGGCCTGATTTCGTGCACCATTACCCTCCTAGTGTTGATCCCAAAACAAAAGCTGATAAACCATCTTAACCGGAGCATACCGTTGACACTATATTAGCAAGCCATGGTGATTTTTAATGATGTACAGAGCGTGTAGTGGCAGGATTCACACGAACATGTCACAGCTGATGTATGAGGCTGGGCGGAGCGGCAGATATGATTCAGCATTAATAATCGTCAACAAAATCATTTGACAGCCTTCTCTACCAAAACAACACACTTTGTTCTAATAGCTTATGTCATACATAGACAACATCCTAAATGGATCTGGATTGCAATGCAATACATTATAGATTGCATGAAATAGCATCGCATAGGTTAAATGTATATGTCCTGTGTTTTGGAGCAAAGTGCAGCATTGTATTCATTTAAACAAATGCAGCTCGTGATTGGGCATTTTTAACATCTTGGTTTACCGCTCTTGTGAATTTGGGGTGTTTATAAAGTGCATTTAGGAGGGCAGTGTGCACTTAAGCCACCTATTTATAAACCTGTTGCCAGTAAAGAAGTTTTGAGAGCTCCCTGTGCTTTTCAGTGCAAATAAAAGCCTGTGGTTTTGATAGTGCAAACAATGTCAAACTAGGGTGAAGGTGCAGTCGTGTTATGTCAAATGTCAGCAGTATTTTATCAAGCAAGCAGTTTTTTGTTGGTCAGTGTGGTGAATTCACTTTTATTGCCCTCACATGAATCTTTAGATTGTGCAGATTTCTAACACAATGACTGGATTTTGCTGAGCAATGGTAAATGACAGCACCTTATAGGAAAATGTCATGAGGGCTGCATGGTCGAATGGCCCACATATGAGGTGAGCTGATTAGAAGTTCAGCGGCAAAAACATTGCTAACACCTCTTTCTTTGCATTGATTGGGATGTATTTATAGATATAGTATAGTATAGTATAGTATAGTATAGTATATACGTTTTTAAGATATAGTATTTAAAGAGCGGCCAAAGAGGGTAACAGAAGAGAGAACAAAGCGACCTTACAGTACTGAGTTTGTTGCTTAAGTATATAAAGTGTATA